AATGTTTATATATAAATAGCCTTAGTCGTGTAAGACAGCACAAAATATACTCTGTATATTCTCTACATGACTCTGTGGAGTTGTTTAGATTCTTAAAGTGTTTCAGTTGTACAACTAATAAAATCATCTTTTAATTGTCACTGAGTTGTGGAAAATGAAATTAAACTTTGGAACCAACTCAGTGGCACTTAACGACACAACAATAATGAGTGGAATATGGGAACTTTGAAGCTCATTGTTCTGCTTTATTTTTCCATTTAAGTAAAAGTTTTCTTCTTATTTTCTGATATTAAAAAGGTACTCCAATCAACAAACCACCAGTTTTGGGCTATAAAGATCTCAATCTCTTCAAACTCTTCAGGCTGGTTTATCATCAGGGTGGATGTGACAATGTAAGTATAACATTAGTATTTGAAATATATATCGATGTGATGAAAAGTTAAATCATCTAATGTTGCATTGTTATATGTGCTCTAGATAACTCACGCATTCTCTTAATAGACATAGACTATTAGTGTAAAGATTATTTCCTTTTCTAAATGCTGATAAATAAAAATTGATTTTCCAGATTGATAGTGGTGCTGTATGGAAGCAAATTTATATGGACCTCGGCATTCCTATTTTGAATTCAGCTGCTTCCTACAATGTGAAAACTGCTTATAGAAAGTAAGTAGTATATCTTATTCATCAAAATACATATTTATAGGAAATCTTTTCATTAAATTTTAATTAGATGGGAATTCATCAATTCTGAAAGTTTGAAGTGAGAGAACATGTATAAAACGTTTTCAATTAATAGGTATTTGTAATTGATGAGTCCTTGGGTGGTGCCTACAGCTAAATACTTGTATACTATCCAAAGGGCAAGGAGCTCTGGTAGCGTAGTGGTTACGAATTGGGCTGCAAACCGCAAGGTTAGCAGTTCGAAACTACCTGCTGCTCCACGGGAGAAAGATGAGGCTTTCTGCTCCTGTAAAGATTTATAGGCTCGGAAACGGTGTTCAGTGTCGCCATGGGTTGGAACCGACTCGACGGCGCTTAACAACAATGACAAATCCAAAGGTTTGGCAGTTTGAATCCACAGTCTGCCTTAACCAAGAATGTCTCATGTCTGAATTTCCTTTTCAATATTAGGATTGCAGGTGATGTCTATAGCCTGAAAATATGATACACGTTACAAAGCTATCTTTTGCAGTGAACCACGTTCATATGAGAGCTATATTCAAAACTGTGAGAGCTAGATTCGCTTATCACAAGTTCAGATTTCTCAGGAATGCATTTCTGTTAATAATACTATCTAAAAACACCAAGAAATTAGTAACACAAAAAGGGTTGTTTATAAATTACTTGAGTTTTACTTTATAATAATGTATGTGTGCAAAAAATGCTACTACTACTATATGTGTGCTGGGGAGCATAAAAGCACTAGTAAAGTCTGCTCACCATGGAATGGTCAAAATCAAAAGACAATATTAACCTAAGGACAAAGTTGAGAAGGGATGGGAAGGTGGATGGACTGCAAACAGGAACTGCAGGGAGGAAGTAGGATGACTCTTGCTGCACAGAGGGGATTGTGTTCATTGAGATGAGACAAAGCGTATGAAATGTTGAATGAAAAACTGATGATCTCGTCTGGGAACCTTCTTTCAATATACAATAAAAAGTGTGTTTAATAATGTTCATATTAAATTCAAAGATACAAGATTTCCTAATATCGAATGTTGTTTGCGTAGGTATCTCTATGGTTTTGAGGAGTACTGCCGTTCTGCAAATATTCAATTCAGGACTATTCACCATCATGAACCAAAAGTAAAGGAAGAAAAAAAAGACTTAGAAGAATCAATGGAAGAGGTGCTAAAAGAAGATCAAGAAATGCCTTTAGTAGAAGTGAAGAGCGAACCTGAGGAAAATATTGATTCCAACAGTGAAAGTGAAAGAGAAGAAATAGAATTAAAATCTCCAAGGGTGAGTAGTTTAATATTAGTTTTATATGGATTTATTTTCAGCATTTATTTACTTGAATCCTGGACATTTTCAGGCATACACAAAATACTGCGATGAACCTTCTTGTACTCATCACCTAGAATTCTGGGTTATATAGTCAGAAAAATGAGGAGGACATTTTCACAAACGTATTCATTGCAGTTTTTGTTTTGTTTTGTTGTTTTTTAACTTTTTTATTATGAATTGAGACAAAATCATCAGTTCTACATTCAACAAATCATACAGTCTGTTTCATCTCAATGATTGCAATCCCCTCCCTGCAACAATAGTTATCCCACTTCCTCCCTCTGGTTCTTTTTTCCATCCCACCCACCTTCCCATCCCTTCTCAACTTGGTCCTCAGGTAAATGTTGCCCTTTTGATTTTGAATGACTGAACATTGCATGGTGAGCAGACCCTGCTAGTAGTGTTGTTGGCCCCTCAGAGTCAGCAGTTTGAAACTACCAGCTGTTTTCGCGGGAGAAAGATGAGACTTTCAGCTCCTGTAAAGATTTTCGACCTTGGAAACCTTGTACAGGTTCACTATGAGTCAGGACCAACTCCATGGCACATCACCACCACCACTACTTGGCTGGAAATTGGACCTCGAGGGTAAATTCCTTTCCAGACCTGAAAGGTGGTCGAAGCCGTAGTCTCAGGTTCATCCAGTCTCTTCTGACCAGTAAACCTGATCTTTCTGAAAATAAGTTTTGAGTTTTATTCCAGATTTTCTCCCACTCTGTCTGGGACCTTCTAATGTGATCCCTTTCAGAGCAGTTGGTAGTGATAGCTGAGCACCATCTAATTCTTCTGGTCTCAAAAGAGTCATGGAGATTGATGTTCACATGTTCCATTAGTCTGTTGGAGTAATTAATTATGTTTTGCCAGTTGACCATAGTGTCCCCGGAGACTGTGGTCCTAGGCCCTCAGGCCCAGCAACTCATTGCCTTCAGATGTTTGATGCTATATAAGAAATTTTCGTCATTTTGCCCACTGTATACCCCACAACATTCATAGGTGTGTTTGTAGTAAAGGTATATATCCTTTTCAGCACCCTTACATATTTGGGGGTGTATTCCCACTCTTCTCATACCGATTCCGTCTGTGTATCTGTTTATGTGTCTATCCATAGAACACTGTTGTTCCAGTGTTGTGAGTCTAATACTGTTTACCTCTGTCTTCCTTATCCATGCAGTGTTTTATATTATTAAGAAATTAGAGAAAATCTTGGGGAAGATAACTGTATGGTATACCTATACTATGGAGTGCTCTATAGATGTTTTACATAGGGTGATTGAATCTTTATATGATGATAAGAAAGCAAACCCACAGTAAATCTGTTGCATAAAAAAGGACATATTTAGCATATGTCTGAAAATGGAATTTCTGAGTCAAAGCTCTGTAGTCTAAATTTTTATAGATAACAATTGCTTTTTTTATTCATCTACCTAAAAATAATCAGCATCTGCTATGTGTCTAGATCTGAGGATGCAAAAGTGCATAAGACAAAGTCCCTATCATCATGAAACTTATATTCTAGTGTTTTGAATAAACAACAATTAAAGAATAGTAAACGTGTGTTTTTATGTGGGTTTTTTTTCTGCCTTTGACGTGTAAAAAGCACATAGTCAGGAACTAGGAAGGTCATTTGTTCTAATGAGATGTCTTTGTAAGCCCCATCTCCCCCCCCCCCACCCCCTTTTTTTTTTTTTTTTTATCAAAGTAAAGGGAAATTCTGCCAATTCGGGCTGGTTGATTTGAATGAAAATTTAGTATATAGTAGTAGCCCATCAATTTCTTGGTTAGTTGAACATACAACAGATACTGGTTAGCTGCTGGAGGGTAGAGCAAGTTATAAGTTATTGCTGGTCCAGAGAGCTTCTCAGAAACTTATTCAGATAAATCTTGACCATTGATGCAGATCAGTCTCTTTAAACTCTCATTGCACACAAATATAGTGGTAATGGTAATTTGGTAATAATAGACACTGGAACCAAAGGAGACCACAAAGATTTTAAGAATTCATAATTTAGGGATTTGTATTCATTATTGTTAGAATAAACGTTTATCAATAATAATTCAAATATCATTATTATCATTGACATTTACTTGATTTCCTAGGTTGTCAAGACCGATTTAAAATGAGATAAAATAATGTAGTATACAAAGGTGATTGTTTTTGTTTTCTTTTATGTAGTGCATAGCCAAAGGTCATCATAGTAGTTGTTTGTCAAGTCGGTTCCAACTCAGAATGACTCTGTATTGGGTTTCTGGAGCTTTTCAATTGTTTTGTGAGAGCAAAAAGCCACCTTTTTCTCCTGCGGAGGGGCTGATGGGCTTGAACCATGGACCTTGTGGTTTGCAATCCAGTGCTTCTCATATGGAGCCATTGTGCTCCCCAAAGGTCATAGTAGAGCTAGGCATGATTGATTTACATTGGTTGTTCTTGTATTAGAGAGAGAAGTCAGTGGTTATTCTTGTACATAAGAGAGGAGAGGTTAAGTACATGGAGTGATTGGTTGTTTCAGGATCACATCTCAAGGCAAAGAGAAGATTAGACATTGCTGTGGATGTTTTAAAGAAAAAAAAATGTTTTTCTACTTTTATATCCTTTGTGTGGTAGTGTAACTTTTAAAACTTTTATTCCTTCTACGTAGGGACGAAGGAGAGTTGCTCGAGATGCAAATTCTGTTACAAAAGATATTGACGAGGAGAAAACAGAAGACAAATTAAAAGATAATGAATCAGAAAATAAGGATATAGATGATGACTATGAAACTGCAGAGAAGAAAGAAAATGAATTACTACTGGGGAGAAAAACGACACCAAAGCAAAAAGAGAAGAAAATTAAAAAGCAGGAGGATTCTGACAAAGACTCAGATGAAGAGGAAGAGAGAAGCCAAGAGAGGTACATTATCTTATGTTTGCTCTTCAGAAGTACCTGTCTGGGGTACAACAGTGCTTTGTTCCTGCTTAGAGATTCAGGTTTGAGGGAATGTTTTTCTTATTGGGACTTCCATTCCTCTTGTCTAATGAAGGTGAGACACATTGTGAAGATGATGTGTATCGCCTTTCGGAATTGGAGAATATACTGGTCGCACCATTTTAATAGCACTTGTGCCCTAAACAGTGGCCTCAAAGAAGGCTGCGCCACCCAGTCAAAAGAAAGGTCCTGCAGTTGACAGCAGGGAAGGGAGCTGGAGAAAAATGGAGGAAGTGGACAAGAGGAAACAGCGACAGCAAAAATTCCATTTTAAAAAAGGTACAATGTGGGAAAGCTAACAAACACATGGGTGCACAGTACTAGCAGATGTTTCTGTGTGTTAGCTTTATCTAGGACATTTTTCTTTTTTCAAGTAATTGTATTAGAATAAGTGGCATGCACCCCTGATTCTACTTTGGAAAATACATTCTTGCCCCACATCACACCAATAAATTTCAGCTTTTTAATGTCCATCCTGTTTGCTGTTGAGTGAAAACTGTATTTTTTCCCATGTGTTAAACATGTATGGTCTAAATTGACTTAACTAAAGATTAGGCAGTACAGCTAGTTAGATCAAGGAAATGTCCGACCATGTTATGCATTTGGCTATTTCTGTAAATTAGTGTTGTTTAAAGGACTTACTAATTTTTAGATATTACTAAATGAATTTTAAATCAGCTGCAGCATCATATGCTTACTTGTCATATAAACTTATCTCCATATTATTTATTATTATAGTACTATGTGATGCTAAATTGTCTAGGTATTTGAGTTGGTAAGCAAACTTTGGGAAACGTGGCTTGCTGTAACCAGCTAGTGGCTGATACCCATCTGAAAATTAACCACTGGAAAAATATATGAAAAAAATATATATATATATATGGAAAAATAGAATGATGGGTGAGTGGGGAAGGCATTTTCATGATCCAGTACAAAACACGTATGTTTCCACTGCTATCTAGTCAGTTTCAGCGGAGAGCATTTGATACAGGCGTTATCAGAGTTACATTTAAATTAGTTGAATGAATGAAGAAAATTCTGTTATCATGAAATATACTCAGAAATTGGATAAATGCAAAGATATAATAGAAACTGAGTATAATGTTGTGGTGTAGAGTTTTAAATGCAGGTAGTCCCTGACTTAACAACAGGGTTTCCTTCCAAGGACTGCCATTAAGTCAGTTCTGAGGTAAATCAAATACCTCATGTGCCTGTCATTATTACTTCCATATATTGTCAGTAGTTGTATGAACCTGATCTTCATCTTTGTGGATGGGCCTGAGAATAATATTAACAAATTATGTACTGCACCATTATATGTAATACATAGTACTATTGATAAGATATATATTTTAAAAAGTCATAAATGTGGCTCATCTGATTCAGATATGTCCAAAGTAGGAGATTGCCTCTATTGGACAAAAAGTTTGAACAGTGGTGAACAACCAAAAAAATTCATTATAGTTTGAAGTATTAAAAAATGGACATCAAAAAATATATATGATTGTGTATAATGTATGTGGAACATACGACATATATGTATATAAATATTTTGTTTTTAAAGTCTTTGTAATTGATATGTAAAGGGAAACAAAGACTTATTTTAGAGAACGTTGAACAGACTTGACTGTGAAGAACTATGTACTCAAATGAAATAAAAACTAAATATAAAGGCAATAAACAGTCTGTATCCTCGTTGTATAGCAGGACTCATGGAAATGATGAGGCTGTTTTTTCCAAGAAAATTTCTCTTGAAATTAGTCTTTTAAAACTTCTGATGAAGTTTTTGAAATTTCTTTATCAGGCTATAATTTAACAAGTATCTCTGGAGAGAAACTATTCCGCCTACCAATGGATTGCTCATAGAATTCAATATTGGGTGAATTCTCAGGAGGAGGTAGTTTTCAAACCATTTAAATTTTATGTTGAATTCCTAGAGTTTACACTAAAATAATGCCCTATATTTATTATAGAACATAATAAATTCTTTTTAAGCTTTTCTTACTTGTGATGTCAGTCTACACGTTTTACTGTAAAAATACTTATAATATTGTTGGACTCCCTGTGTAAGTGTCCTTTGTACTTGACTAGCACTGCAAAGGAAAGCTACTGAGAGATGAGTCAAAACAAGTAGTAACCAACACAAGATGTAAAGCTTTGTTCTCCTGCTGTTAATTCTAGTTTTAGCAAATGATCTAAGATTCAGATATCTATTGGTTCTCTGTGGGAGTGGGGAAATGTACAGAATATAAATTCCTTTAAAGACATGGTTACTAAACATAGGTAGCCCTTGTTCATTCTTTTGCCCACACACAAAAAGAGAAAGAATCTTGCTAAGAGCCATTCTAAATTGAACAGAGAAGGTGGTAAAAGTTCATTCAAGATAGTTTAGTTGCAGGAAATTACAAGGTATGTTTAGATCGTTCTCACTTAAGGTGGCACTGGAATATGAATCCTGAAGACTTTTTCAGAGAATAGTGTTCTGATTTGGTTGTATCAGAAGTGATTCATTTGGTCCACATCTTCATTAACTGTGGCTACCAATTGGCCTTTAAGAAGTATGAGTTTTTGGTACAGTGTACGTTTACACACTAAGAAAAACACTGATAAGTAGCTCATATCAATCTTCTCCTTCTCCTCCTTCTTCTCCTCCTCCACTGACAGGCTATTAAGGTAATACTTAAGCTGTGTTTATTCTACACCTTGGATTCTCTTAGCATGTATTATTTTATTGTTTTCCATAAAATTATTAGTGGCATTATCAATGTTATAACTTACTACAGGGAAGAAATTGAAAGCAAGTGTGGCTCTGAAGGAGAGGAAGATGAGGAAGACATGGAGCCCTGCCTAACAGGAACCAAAGTGAAAGTAAAATATGGACGAGGGAAAACACAGAAAATTTATGAAGCCAGTATTAAAAGCACTGAAATTGATGATGGAGAAGTTTTGTACTTGGTGCATTACTATGGGTGGAATGTCAGGTAAGCAAGAAAATATTTTCTTACTGGTAGAATTTCTTTCAGTGGGGAAAAATGTCAGTGTAAAGTTGTGATGGACTAAAGCAAATGGTATCTGTATAATAATGCTCACCTAGATTTTAAATTTTCCAAGTTGTCTACATACCCCCACTTTTATTAGCAATGTCAGTGCTTCCGGCTGGAGACCACCAGAAACACACCTGAAGGTGAACAAGTTGGGTTTATTAATCCTTTGCAGCAAGGAAGAACACACACCATGTAGAACTGTATGGTGCCGCAGTAAACGGGTATTAGACCCATGAGTAAGTGCTTGAGGCACAACCTTCCGGGAGCAGCGATAGTCCAAGATTCTGCAGAAACAACCTACAGGACATAGGCAGAGAGCCAATCATCCACTTGCTCTTCATTGTTTTTGTTTAGCTTATCAGAGATGAGACCTGTGTCACCCATCTTAATAAACCAAACATTTTTCTAATATTAAGAAATGAATGTTTTTTTAAAAAAATGAATGTTAGAGAGGAAATAGAGTTGAATTCCTGTTTAGGTGATTTTGGAGGGTTGGTGGGGCGGCACCAAGATGAGGAAGTGGAGCTTTGTTCTAGATGGGCTGCTGTAAGGAAGTAGGGTCATTCTGTGATAGGTTATTTTTGTATATCTGATCTTGGAGGGATGACTAGATCAAGGCTGATGCTGTGCTTAGTAAAGAAGTGGTTGTCATGCCTATTAGTCAGGAAGAGAGGATGTGTATGGTCATTTTTGTGGCTTGGACAATGTTCTGTTTTGTTTTTGGGGGGTTTAACATGATTAGGAATAGCCTTGTCTTTGTCTCCACCAGTGTCTCAAGAGTGGTTTTGTCTGGTGTTGAGGTTCTGTGAACTTGTTTATGTTCCACAGGGAACACCACAGCCGTGCTGTGAGTGCCAGATGAGCTCATAGCAACACCCCGGTCCAGCTGCTAGTACCAGGCCAGCTCCTGCATGGGGGGGAGTCAAGGGGAGCTGCTTTTCTCTTTCTCCTTTGGAAAGTCTTACGTTAATTATCCCTGGTTGCCTTGTTCTTTCTTGCAGCAAGACTGATCCAAGGTTTCCCTATATACTAGATGTGTGTTCTGGTGTGCCTCAATTTCCTCATCTCTAAACTGGGGAAAACAAAGAACTTTCTTTAGAGAGCTGTGAGAAACAATGGCAATACCTGTATTAACATGTAAAGTGCGTAAAACAATGCCTGTCCCTTCATAAGTGCTCAATAAATGTTAACTCTTTTCTTTAGTAAGACTAAAGGAGGTTTGTGGGTTTAATTGAATAGCATATAAAACTTTAAAATCCTGTTTCTCTTTCAACTGTATTATTGTATTCAGGAGGATGGGATACGTTTTCCAACTTTAGGTCGCTATAGTGGTGTTGGTAGCACATTAGCCTTCTCTTTTCCTCAGTTTCTTTTTAGTCCATAGCCATCCAATCTTATTATCATCTGCATGTATGTGTGTTCTGCTTTCTAGAATTTCCCTTTCCTTTTTTTTCTCATCTTTTTAATGTTTGCTTTCATGACTGTATTCAGTAATTTATTTTGTGCTCAGGTTGGGCTTCTAAACACAGGTCAGTGGTTCAAACCCACCAGCCAGAATATGGGAAAAAGATAAACTGTCTGGGACTGTAAAGATTTACAGTCTCAGTAACCTTATATAGGGTGTGTATAAGTTGGAATCGACTTGATGGCAATTGATTTGGTTTTACAGGTTATTCATGTCGGTTATGGTTGTCATTTTCACTCCATCCCTCTAGAAGAAGATGTAATTCAGACCTGTTTATTGAAATAGAACCTTTCGAGTTTCTAGAGAATCTTGTCTGGTGTTTAAAAGAAAGGACATCTTCAAGTGTACCCCAGATCAGGCCTCTGCTTCTGGGACATCTAATATCTCCTATGGGACTTTGGGCTGGGCAGAGTTACTCATTCATTTGTTGACTTTGGACCAGACACATTCCTCTTGTGAGCGACCTTTAAAAAGTTCATGGAAAAAATTCCATTTTTCCATGAACTTTTTGAAGCCTCTAAGTGTTGCTCTTACCAGACTGTACTTGGTTTTATTATCTTTCACACCGACTGCAAATTGCTTTAGAAGGGCCTTATCTTCACTATGTGCTTTTTAGTTGTTGCGTTCCCTAATGGTCATACCAATTTGCATGATGTATTTTATGTCAGCCTAGTGCCACATGAGCTCTGATAGCATAGTGGTTACGAATTGGGCTGCGAGCCGCAAGGTCAGCAGTTCGAAACTACCAGCTGTTCCGCGGGAGAAAGATGAGGCTTTCTGCTCCTGTAAAGATTTCCAGCCTCGGAAACCCTGTTCAGGGTTGCTATGATTCGGAACCGACTCCACGGCACATAACAACAACAACAACAGTGCCACATGCATACTAGTAGATGCTCAGTAAATGTCCAAATGAACATTTCTAAATGGGTGAGAGTACAGACATTTACACGTCTGGTCACATGCTCATAGAATAAAGTTATTAGGTTAAATCAGGAGGAGGTTATATTCAAACCGAGTACAGGTATTCATGTTACCATGTCAACTAAACTCATGCATGTTGGAACTATGGCATGTTGCTCAGACACAGTTCCAGTAAGCCTGAGTTTAGTTGGTAAATGGGTTACAAAATGAGACTATGTTTTTCACATATGTGAATTTCATTGTACCATCACAGGTATTTAATGTGTTTTTTTAATTCAGATTTTAAATTTGGGTTAAGCTTTATAAATACCTATACTTACATTATGCTTACATAATGTAAGAACTACTGTTTAATTCTAGAAAGTAAAGTTTACTTTCTTGTTTTCCCTTGACTAATAACTTGGAATGACTCTTTTAAAATGCAAATGTGACATCAACTTCTTTGAAAAAAATGGTGGAGGAAGTGAGGAGTTAGTTTTCACTTGAGCTAAACAGAAAACACTTTGATAAAGTAAATGAAGTATCTCTAAAAAAAATTCCAAGTCTTGGTGGTGTATTTCAGAATAAAATTTGACTTGAAATATAAAGAACTTGATAAAAATCATCTGGACGGCTAGAACAAATCATATAGCAAGTTTGAATGATTTTTATTTACCACCAGGAGATAGGATCAACTGAACAGCAACCTCTACATCACTGACTCTCTAGCATGCATCCAAGCGTAGAATCCGTTTGTTTCATAAAACTCAGATACATGAGAGATGTGGCTACATATAGTCTTGAATCCATTTCTGGTTTGCTTGTTCACGGTTCCCTCTAAGCCTGTTTGCCTAACAGATTCTCCTGCCTTGGTGGTAGGTAAACCAAGCACTTAGTATAGCTGCTGGTACATAGTACTTACTAGCAAACCAACTCTGTGCTCATCACATCTCTGCTTTCATTAGAAACAAACTCTTTGGTTTCTCACGATGTGGTTTTTATTTGGTGAGTAAATTTCAACTAGGATATCATTGTGAAATCTTGACTCTTCATTTTCAGGTATGATGAATGGGTGAAGGCTGACCGGATAATCTGGCCGTCGGACAAAGGTGGACCAAAGAAAAAACAGAAGAAGAAAGCCAAAGTAGGTTATTAGATTAAGATCCTTGGTGATAGGCACAGGAAAGTCCAAATGGAATTGTGTATTTTTATGTCTTCTTTTCTCATTGTAATAATCTGGATTTGTTTCATTGTGATTTTCTCTATTACAACTACTGGGGATTTGAAAAAGTAAGTTTAAAGCACATTACCACATTGTTTCAGAAAAGGTGTAAAACAGCTACCCGAAGGACAGAGGTTTCAAAGTCAAATGTCCACAGAGGCTCTGTAGAAAAGGAGTAACATTGGACTCACAGTGGCATCTAAGAGGACGCATTCCTCAGCTAGAGAAGCCACCCTGAATATTCAGTTTTTATCATAGAGATTAACCTAGTGTTTTGTATGTCTGATGGTAGATCTTTCTTTTCTCCAGGGCATGGAAAGGTATAAGGGGAAGTACTGAGTTATATAACTAACTATGCAGTGACTATAACATCACATAATATAATTATTTTGTTACAAGTCACTGTATTCTTATAAGTCCGAAGTATTGCTACAAAATGATGTTGTTGTTAGGTTCATTATAATGACCTTATGCACAACAGAATGAAACACTGACCGGTCCTTCACCAGCCTCACAGTCATTGCTGTGTTTGGGTCCACTGCTGCCGTCACTGTGCCAGTCTATATCTCGTTGAGGGTCTTCCTTTTTTTCTCCAGTCCTTCATTTTATGAAACATGATATCCTTCTTTAGGGACTGGTCCCTCCTGATAATATGTCCAAAGTATTGAGATAGAAACTCTTAACCATCCTGGCTTCTACAGAGCATCCTGGCTGTGTTTCTTTTAACACAGATTTGTTTGTTATCTGGCAGTCCATGATACTTTTAATATTCTCCAAATGCATCAGTTCTTTAACAGTCTTCCTTGTTTTTGTTGTCCAAATACCACATGCATATGAAGCTGTTGGAGTCCTGGTGTGGTGCTGTGGGTTTGTGCGCTGGACTTCAATGGTGGTTTGAACCGCAAAGTCAGTGGTTCAACTTCATCAGCCGGCCGCTCCTCAAAAACCCTATAGAGGGTCACTGTGGGTCGGAACTGACTTGACAGCACTTAACAACAACAAATGAAGCTATTGAAAATGCCATGGCTTGGCTCAGACGCTTCAGCCCTCAAACTGACGTCATTGCTCTTGAACACTTTAAAAAAGGTCTTGAGAAGCAGATTTGCCTAATGCAATACGTTATTTGATTTCTTAACTACAGCTTCCATGAGTATTGATAGTTGATTCAAGCAAAATTAAGTCTTTGACTCTTTTAGTCATTTTGCCATTTATCATGATGTTGTTTATTGCTCCAGTGGTGAGGATTTTGCTTTTTTTAGGTGCAGTCCATACTGATCTATCTTGACGTACCATTTCAAGATCTATGTTGGAGTATAGTGCTGTCTGTGATAGGATAGTATCCATACACCTCCAAAGAAGACCTGTTATTAGCACTGTTATTCAAATTAACACACCAACTGCGAAAGCCAGTGGTGGTGAAACTGAAGAATGCTAATCCTGGTGTGGCGCTATAGAATCAGCGCTGAACTTCTAAACACCAGGTCAGCAGTTTAAATCCACCAGCTGCTCTTCGGAATCCCTCTCCAGGGTAGCAATGAGTTGGAATCTACTCGGAAGCACTTAACAACAGCAACAACCAACTTATTCAGCCTCAAGTTGATCAAACATGCTATCAAGATATATTGATAGTTACTGGTGATTTGGATGCAAACTTTGGAAACAGTGGTGGAAGGATCAGTAGTTGGACAATATGACCTTGGTGATAGAAACAATAATAGAGATTACACGATAGAATTTTGCAAAACCAGTGACTTCCTCCTTGTAGATATGTTTGGTAAATAACATAAAAGAAGACCATACACTAGAATCTTACCAGATGTAATACACAGAAATCAAATTGACTACATCTGTGGGAAGAGATGGTAGAAAAGCTCCATATCATCAGCCCAAACACTGCCAGGGGCAGACTGGAGCAAGTTCAGGCTGAAGCTGAAGAGAATTAAAATAAGTCTATGGGAGCCAGTATTTCACAAAATACTATTTTTTTTTTTTAATTTAAGGTTTTTATTGTGGATTGAGTGAAAGTTTACAGGGCACATCATCAGTTTC